AGCTGTCCGTTTTTAGCCCATAATATCATCGCTAAGGGCAAAATATGTCCATAAATTTTTGGCGTCGAAATATGACATAGTGAAAACCAGCTCTTAATTCGATTAAAGCCAGTTTATGTAAGTTATTTACAATGGTATGGTATTCAATATTATTTTCAAAATGTTACTAAATGTGTATTCGTCGCGACGTGTAAGCACAAAAAAAAAAAAAACTAAAAGCCATAAACAATTAATATGTTTATTTGTATGCATTTGGTAACTCAAAGGAGATAAAAGACTTCATTATACTAAGTATATTGTAAAATGCTAATGAGTTGCTAGCTTGCATATGTATGTATATAAGTTTGTAGGTTGTTATTGTTTACCCCACTAGAAATACATATGTACATGCAGACTGCTCTTGTTATTTACATTTTTATGATTGCATTTTAATGAGTAACTTGACAACGAATAATCTGTAGATATGTACATACATACATAAACATAAAAACGCATAAACTAAAAACAAATATAAAATCTGAACATAAAATTAAAAACAAAATATGTATGTATGTATGCATATGAGCATGTACGCATAATAATGTGCGAACATATATATGTACATAAGGGTGGTCCTTATATGAAGAAAGCAAATTTTTACATCAGATTTCCTAAGCCTCAAGGGTCTAAGTTCATATGAAGATGTCTTAACCGACTCCAATCGGGACCAAAATCTATATAAGATGTCTTCGACTATGGTAGTATCGATTTTGGGTATTAGATGAAAAAAAATTAATTTAATTTTTTTGACTCTCTATAGTTGGGTATCTTGCTTTTGACCCCTTTGTGACACTCCTTAACCAACTCCAATCGGGACCACAATATACATATACGTGATGCCTGTGACCGTGGTGTTACCGATTGAGGGGGGGAGACTCAAAAAAAACATGCATTTAATTTTTTAAGGACCGCCCTAATGTACATATGTACCTACACATGTATATATTATGTACCTACACATGTATATATTATGTACTACAAACAGCAACCATTGTGTCTTAAGAACACCAACAGCAGCCACCACCGCACAGTGGTTCAAAACTGGAATCTACTGTTCATAATTCACTGGAGCCTTAATTTTTCAACCAATTTTATTAGTATTAGTATTTTATTTTTATTAAAGCTTATAAAATTAGCATGCGACCAGTTGATCCCAATTTTTGAATTTTTATTTGTTTATACTAAATTTTTAGAGCAAAGTGCAGAAAAAGTAGCACTTTTGAAGAAAAACTGATTCCCTGTTCCAATTATTAAATGTTACATAATAAAAACCAATTGAAAACAATTGTAGGGTTCCATCAAAACGAAAAAAATATCCCAAGAAAAATTTCAAATGTTATAAAAATTTGTATCTCTTTATCTCAGAAAACTTAAAAAAACGCCCTATTTCAGAATTTTTTTGAAAAACGCCACTTCCTGAGCAATCAGATCAAGAGAATAGAAAATAAAATGAGTGACTGATAATGAGGGTATCAGTTCACATCGAAGTATTGAAGATGGACTAAATAATAGAGTCGGGAACTAAAATAAAGCAACAATATACTCCGACAGCCAGCCGGCGATCAGTGTTTCACATAATGATAGCTTCTCTTTTCTTGGTTTTCCAGACATTGAAACACCGAAGACGATGAGATAGCTGTCGAAGGTAGGATCCTATTCAGATTAATCTCAAGCGGGGGGCAGTGGAATGCTCTCTTGAAAATATCCAAATGAGAAATTAATGCGCATATTCCTAGACTAGCCAGAACCGGATGGTCAGATATACAAATGAGACGAGTGCGTCCTCTCTCCTTAATATATCAAGCTAGGTAAACATGTGGCAAGAAAAGCACTTCCCTTTAGTAGAACTCTCCGCAATTTCTTACTGGAAGATAGTGAAGAAATTGTCCAGAATTTCCTGCTTTAATGCCCTAGCGAAAAGAACCTACGTATAGAAAAAAAAAACTATCGTTTCTATCAGTAGCTAGTTACTATAAGTGAAGTCGATAAATTCATCAGCGAATCCACATGGTTCGACTAAGCAATTATGGATTTTCGTAGGTAAATCTGAAAATTTTATTAAAATGTAATCAAAATTGTATCTTAGGTGGCTGCTAACTAAAAAAAACTGCAGCCAGGTGACGGAATTGCATTTATGTGTAGGTGATGGC